TGTTACCGGCGAAATTTATTAAACCTGGGCAACCACACAAGCAACCGTGTCAAAAGTGCTCATAAACACCTAAAAGAATGTCTCAGAAGAGGTGATTCTCTGCTGTTGAAGTTCCGGAAAGTTTGGAGTAAAAACAGACACTGACATACGATTGCGTCCATATGACACTGTAAAGAATCTTCAGCGTTTTCCAATTCTTCAGGTAAGAAATATAGTTAATTGTATCATTCATTCCAGGTTCCAATGTCATTTCGAAATCTTTTAAATGGGTTCACATCTTTTGCAGCTAAAATTGTAGCTGTAAATTATAAACGTGTTAGGACAATCAGATACGAATTTATAGAACGAGAATACATCCGGTGCTACGAAAAGAGTATGATGTATGTTGTTGATACCTCACGTGCACGATGTGCTTGAGAGTGTTTCAATGACTACATGCTGCACTGTGGTCATATTCTGTATGCGCGTTCTAAAGGTCTAATTCGTGGAGGTAAATGCATGTTCCTTTGTCTCCATAAGGTTTGTAGACTTATCTCGACATAGCAGCCGGTGGACAAGGAAATACATAATGGACTTGGTTCTTCGTGCGCTGGACAATAAGCCAATCTCTACAGGGAGTGGTCATCTGCCACAGAAGTTCACTAACAACTACCACTCAATCCATGCTCTCAGTGAACCTTTGGCAAGTATATATATATATATATTTCTGCATGTGCAGGTACACGCCACTTTTACAGGCATGATCTACAAATTACAACACTTGTTGGTTCACAAAAATCTTCGCAAGTTATTAAGTTTATAGTTGTACTAAAGTATGCCCGTAGGGCGCTTGTAGTAAACCGTGACCTTGAGGAGACACGTACGTCAAGTCTGTCCCAGACGTCAGAAGTTTCATAGCTGTGCCCTCAGAGCAAATTTCTGAAGAAAAAAAAGATAAACAGAAAGGCACTTGGATATGAACGCCAAACGTTGCTTAACATTGTGTAGTAGAAAGGACAGAGGTATAATAAATTAGAATAAATTCATACTATCTGTTGTTAGAGTGAAATGAAGTCAGAGGCTCCATATTAGAGAATGTAGTAATGAAGAACAATGAGTTGTTTCGTTTAACGAGTTGTAGTAAGCTCACATGAAGGAAAGGAAGTCAAGGCTGGTACAAGGAAAGCGGACAAGCGATGAGTTCAATCGGCGCTGATGATGAAGCTACATTGTCAGAATCCATTTTTAACACTGACCATAGCTATGCTTCTTGATAACAAGAAGTTCTAATATTGTAATCCTCTTAGTTTTACATAAATTCATTTATATGGCCATTGACTTGTAGTGACTCACATTTATCACGAGAACACGACTGGTTTAATAGAAACAATTATTATTATAACCAACTGTACCAGTGTTTGTTTTAACGTGCTTTTGTTTGACTGTGCTAATGACAGCTATATTTTGCTTCCTTTCTTTTACACACACTTCGATTGTAACTTCGCGCGAATTCGGTTACCTTCTGTAACCAAGGTTGTATCCTGGCACGATCTCGGTATCCTTTCGATGCCACGAGATCGCCAGCAAATATACACCTCGACTTGGTCCATTAACTGCCTTCTGATATTTGGCTTCTCGGAGATTTTCTGGATCTATTTGGTTACGTCCAACCCTCGCCTTCTGATTTATCTGGCACGTGCTTCTTTGTAGCGGTGTTCATAGTCAATTTCGACTCGACGCCACGCTACAGACTTATTCTTATAGAGTAACGGCAGGGAGAGTGTACTGTGAAGTCTTATGTGGTTTTTTAGACAGGGATGTTGTTTCGCGTTCTTGTGTAATAATTACCAGTTTGATGCATACGTGATTAGTCATACAGACCGTTTACCAAATACTGCAACCTTGGACATGGTGTACTATACTACTAGTTCGAATTTCGACCTGTCAAGACAGATAAGCATTGCCGTAACCAAGAGACTGATGCGTTATAAGTGAAAACGTTTATTAAAGTTTAAATCCAGCTTAGATGACCCATTAGTAAATAACTTCCAATTCTTAAAAGTTGTTTCCGTTAGGTCTGTGAATATTTGTGAAGCCATCTGGAAATAAGATAGACAGGAAATAGTTATTGGTGTGTAAATGTTAACCAGAAACTAGTATAAAGACAGAAACCGTTATTCAGTTACAGTTCCAAAGTGCACTTGGCACACCCTTTCTTTAGACAGTTAATCACGTTTACTTGCTTTATCTCTTGCGTTGCTTAGGAAAGCCTGGGTCGCAACATACATGGCTTGTATTATTTAATTCTTTGGACAGGTTGCACTTCGGAAAATTAGACAATGAACATATATAAAGACTACTAAGTGAACTTATTTTGAATAATCCTGTGTCATCTGCAATTATTGATGCCTATTTTATTTCAGTCCTATTGTCAGGTTCGTTAACCTTGAGGATGGCGGTGATAAAGCTGCTTCAAGTCACCATCGAGCCCAGTTGGCGGCCAGCCATTGGTGACGTACTTCATCGCTCTCTTTATGATGGAGTCGTTCTTGGATGCAGATTGTATTTCAGCTGCTGAGACTGGCAAAGCACGGATAGCGGTTGTCAGGTTACACTGTGCGTAGTCCTCTGTCATCAGGGAGGCAATAACTGTATCTTCGCCGGCCGTATAGTGTTCGCTGATAAGTCGTGACAAGGCGTCAGCCTGACCAAACTGTTGAGTGCGCCGTTACTGAATGTTAAAATCATAACCCAGAAGAATCAAAGCCCATCGTTGGAGACGGTTTGCAGAATGGGCTGGAACACCAGATTTCGAACCGAAAATTGTGAGGAGAGGCTTGTGATCAGTGAGAAGAGTAAATCTTCGACCGTACAAGAATTTGTGGAAACGGCGTACTGCAAACACAAGGGCCAGAGCCTTTTTTTCTATTTGACTGTACTTTCTTTCTGCTGAAGTTAATGTGCGAGATGCGTGCATAATAGCTTTCTCTGTTGCGTCCGGGAACTGATGTGATCTTTATGACTCACCGCGTTACATTTCCTGCACCGATGTTGCTTATATGGACAGTATCGAACAAAATGCCATGCACCTCAGTGCCAGCATGGAGCAGGAGGATTTGTTTTTGTCTTTTGACCTGAACTAGATGTTGCTGGGGCAGATTTATGCGAGTTGTGTGGTTGTTGGACTACGTGAACTTCGGTACGATCTGAACCACCACGCTGGACCATCGTAGTGTCACGCTGTAGATTGGTTAGACGTTGATATTCGTTTGCAATATCATTAAGGGTTAGTTTTGGGTCTTGGTCCAATCGACTTAGCAAGCGTGTTCTAATGTCACTGAACTTCTGCGATTGAAGGCTGCAGATGAGAATGAGTGCTTTAAATTGGTCTTCAGTAAGCGACTTCAACCGGAAGCGTTCACATTCTCGGTTGACGATACCCACATGTGTGAGAAAATCATCATCTTCGTTCATAGTGAGCTTCAAACATCCATAACGCGCATTGAATAGTGAGGAGTTGTCTCCGAATTGTTGACTCAATGACTGGACAGTGTCCGAGAATGAGCGATCACGTGGGTTTAGAGGCAGAATTAGGTTGCAATACCTGTCTAGTTCACTAGGACCCAAATTTCGAAGCAGCAAGCGGACCTTCCAAGCATCATCCTGATTAGCAAAGTCGAATTTGAATAAGTCTTCGTAACGTCGAAACCACATATCAAACGTGACATTGGATTCTGGATCGTAATGAAACTCGGAGATACTGTTAACGATACCATCAACTGATGGTGCAGTAGTAGTAGGATTAGAACTGCTTGGTTGGGTATTAGACGTAAGCTTTGTATCTGCTAACATCTGAATAAGTTTCATCTGCTGCTCGAGTAATAATTCAAGTTTAGAAGGATCCACGGTTCTAAAACCACCGTCGCCAAATTGTTAGGTTCGTTAACCTTGAGGATACTACTGATTCGATTTATTCGGAACGGAACGAAGGCTCAGGATTCAGAGACTCAATAGACTATTCTGGTCCGTTGTCTTCGACTCAGCTAACTCGATCAAGAAGTCTTGGTAAGGCGTAGAAGGTGTATTCTACAAGCAACAGCAGATACCAAGTCAGGTCAGGCAGATCAGATCAAGCATACAAGTCAAGCGTATTTATACAAATATATATAGATTTTGTCATAGGAAATTTTTAAACAATAATCAATGAGTCATCAATTGTCTGCTATTTAAAAATTTAAACGATAAGTTCATCAACTGACTGCCATTCAATATTTAAACATTTAATCGACAGGATAAAATTACAAAATATGAGTTTGGGGATATATCGGCCCCAACACCTACGTAGGGTATAAGTAATTTTCATATACGGCATCAGCACGTAAGCTAGACAGGCCTTGGTTGATTCTCGAAGATCATCACATACGATCTCAGACAATCTAGTCGCCTGAGATCAAGATATATTGATTATCGAATCGTGCTTTTCAATGCTTTATAATAGTACTTATTTCTGCTATTAGGTATTTTTGCAAGATTACCGGCAGCCTAAACATTGGAATTACTTTAGCTTAGTCTCTGGTAGTCTTCACATATATATATAACTTCTCCGCATGATTATGATTTATTTCCTGCAATATAATCCTTTGGTGGCTAATATATCTAACTGTAGAAGGTGATATTAACGTCTTGGTAGGTGTTATAATCATCTATAGCATATACATAATATTTACAACCCTCAAGACAGCAAATATTTTCATTATTAACCTATTTCTGCCATAAAAGTCGAACAAAACATTGAAAATCAGCCAAAATTGTGATAAAGAAGGGAAAAACGACAAATCTTATCATGATATCGGTACTTGTAACGCAGTTTTGGTAGCCTGTGGAGATAGACCTGACAAGCTTATTTTGTAAATAGTTTTTAATATTATTTGTATTTATTTTGTCAATTTCCCACTGCATGTACATTTATCATTAAATGATTGTACCCGTTGTTTAAGTCATTGACCTTGAAGACACTTTCCGTTGAGCTACTACATAGCGTGGTATATGCTTGCCGACTAACAAATACATTACTACTCTCGCATTCCTCGTTCTATTTCCATTTGTGATTGAGTTAACGGAAGTCTAAATCAAATACTATCTACATTTATAGACTGTAATCGGAATATATCACATCCTACGTTGGACTATATCGCTAGAGAGTTCGCCAACCTGCTCAGAGTCATCAAGCATTTATAATTGTGGATTTACATTACTGGACCTAATCAGAACACGCAACGTTTGGGCAATTTAAGTAACGTCCCTAATTTTTATTGTATTTGTAACAATTAACTGTGTATATATTAATATTACTATTTATCTTTAGTAACTTTGTTTATACTTTTTGCGTTCATATTTGTCTGGTCCACCACAATTATTTGGTGAGCCTCGGTTTTTTTTTATAGACATTTACTATATATATCTACATATTATTATTATTATTACTTCGCACGACACCATTTTTTTTGTTTATGTCATTATGAACTCTCCGGGTAAACTTATCGATATAGATAGTTCACCGACCAACCTTCTAAACTCTCCACAACCAGAGGATAATGCTTTGAACTCGATCAACGCTATCTCAGAGTTAAGATTACCAACGTACTGTATTAATAATCCCAGAGTCTGGTTTGCTCAAATTGAAGCTTTATTCATGGCTAGAGGCATAAGATCCCAGGCATCAAAGTATGCATACGTAGTCGGCGCACTTCCTATCGAGATTGCCGCTGAAGTTGGTGATTTAATCGATCACGTGCCAGAATCTGAACCATATGATAAGATAAAAGCAGCAGTTATTCAACGCACCACGGTCTCAGATGAGAAAAGGCTACAACAGTTGTTAACATCTTGTGACTTGGGTGATAAAAGACCCTCGCAACTTCTCCGCCACATGAAACAACTCGCCGGTCCATACAAGCTAGACGAAGCCCTCCTAAAGCAAATGTGGTTTCAAAGATTACCACACAGCGTTCGACAAATTCTCAGTGTTTCAGGGAAATCCGTCGCACTTGATGACTTAGCCGACATGGCAGATAAAATGATGGAAGTATACCACGACAATCACTGTGTGAACTCATTGCAACCACCTGGATCAACAGATATTAGCTGTTTAGCCTCCTTTCAAAAGCAGTTAACACAATTAACGAGCCAGCTGGCGTCACTTCAATCGACCATAGCAACCATCCAAACTAGACAATCGAGATCCCCCTCCAGACGAAGATCTTTTTCTAGACAACGGTCTCGGTCACCGAAGCGAACATCTGATGTTTGTTGGTACCACCAAAAATACGGCACCAAAGCACGGCGTTGTACACGACCGTGCACATTTTCTGCGTCTGACACAGAAAATCAGGGAAACGACCCGGCCAGACAGTGATGGCGGCGCCTGTTTCTGGCCACTACCCGAGCCGTCTATTTCATGTCAGGGATCGAATTTCGGGCTCAGATTTTTTGGTCGATACAGGAGCCGAAATCAGCATTATCCCATTACACCTCTCTCAACGACGGCACCCTCAGAGTACTAAATTGTCTCTAGTCGCAGCCAATAACACAGTCATTAAAACTTATGGCGAACAATCACTTATTTTAGATCTCGGTCTCCGGAGACGTTTCACATGGGTTTTCATCGTAGCTGAAATCAAACAACCCATTATCGGGGCCGATTTTCTCGGTGCTTACAACCTACTTGTAGATATGGCAAAAAAGAAACTAATCGACAAAAACACAAGCTTACAGGTCAGTGGCACAACTCTCTCCAGTTACGAAATTCATGGAGTCCGAATGTTAAGACCTGAAAACAAAATTTTCACCGATATCCTGTCGAAGTATGAAAGTATAACCAGAGCTGATTACCAAAACGAATGCTCCACACATCATGTCCAACACAGTATTACTACTACAGGACCACCTATTCGCGCCAGGGCGAGAAGACTCCATCCAAACAAGTTGCAGTTCGCTAAGAGAGAATTCGAACATATGATGCAACTTGGGATAATCAGACAATCTAACAGTCCTTGGGCCTCGCCGCTGCATATGGTTCCCAAGAAAGATCAAGACTGGCGCCCATGTGGAGATTATCGCCGATTGAATAACCAGACTATCCCAGACCGGTATCCGATCCCTCACCTGCATGATTTTTCTTTAAATCTACATGGAAAGCAGATTTTTTCAAAGTTAGATCTAGTCCGAGCATACCACCAAATACCGATGGCACCTGAGGATATCGAGAAAACAGCTGTAATCACACCTTTTGGCTTGTTTGAATTCTTGAGGATGCCTTTCGGACTAAAAAACGCCGCTCAAACCTTCCAGAGATTTATGGACGAAGTAACTAGAGGTCTGGATTTCGTATTTGTCTATATCGACGATGTTTTAATCGCTAGTTCTTCCATTGACGAACATGTTCAACACCTACACACGCTTTTTGAACGTTTCAAAAGTTATGGTGTTGTAATCAACCCTTCGAAGTGTATATTTGGCGCCTCATCTCTGGAATTCCTGGGACACCACATTGATTCCCAAGGAATTAAACCGCTTGAAGAGAAAGTCAAAGCCATCTCCAGCTATCCAGAACCAACCTCAGTAAAATCACTACGCCGTTTTCTTGGAACATGTAATTTTTATCGACGATTTCTACCAAATTGTGCCGACGTACTACAGCCATTGACAGATTTACTGAAAAACGATAAATCAAGTACCAAGAAAGAAAAGAACCAAATATTCAAGTTACCTTCCGATGCCAAAGTAGCATTTGAAAAAGCTAAATCCATGATTGCTAATGCTACCATGCTCCAACACCTAAATACTGACCCCACAACACTGTTGATCCTGTGCACGGATGCTTCACAAAAAGCCGTCGGGGCAGTATTACAACAGCGGGTAAACAACAAGATTACCCCCATTGCCTTTTTCTCCAAGAGATTATCGCCAGCACAAGAACGTTATAGCACCTTCGGACGTGAACTTCTAGCTATGTACTTAGCTGTAAAACACTTCAACTTCCTCCTTCAGGGACGCGATTTCACCATTATGACTGATCATAAACCACTTTGCTATTCTTTCAATACGACCTACGACAAACATTCTCCACGGGAAGCACGACAACTGGATTACATCTCCCAGTTTACGACAGATATCCAATTTGTCAAAGGAAATACCAACGTCGTAGCTGACGCATTGTCACGTAAGGACGTAAATACCTTGTTACGTAAACAAGACATCGATCTAGAAACCATCGCAAAACTACAAGTAGACGATGCAGATTTGAAGGTCTGCCAGGAGAAGTCTAACTTGAACCTTAAACCAGTACCCATCCCTTTCTCAAATACATCTATCATTTGCGATGTTTCAACGGGTAACAATCGCCCTTTCGTACCACTAGCATGTCGTCGACAGGTATTTCGTCAACTGCATGACCTTTCTCACCCAGGAATCAGAGCCACAATCAAATTGGTTACTGAGCGTTTTGTGTGGCCAAAAATCAATTCAGATATAAAACGATGGACGCGAAGCTGCCTACAATGTCAACGCAGCAAGATTCAGAACCACACGATCAGTCCAGTTGGCAAGTATCCCCTGCCGGAAAAACGTTTTCAGCATATCCACTTAGACATAGTTGGTCCATTGCCACCATCTAATTCATTCACGCACATTCTCACTGCGGTGGACAGGTTCACAAGATGGGCCATAGCATGCCCTATTGCTGATACTTCTGCAGAAACAGTAGCCGGCGTATTCCTTGACCGTTGGATAGCGAATTACGGAGTACCTTCTATCGTCACTACCGACCGTGGTCCCCAGTTTCAGTCTATCTTATTTCAGGAATTCACAAGACTTCTGGGCGTGAACCACATCAAAACAACAGCCTACCACCCAGCAGCTAACGGCTTGGTCGAAAGATTTCACCGCCAATTGAAAAGCTCGCTGATGGCACAAGATGATACGACAAAATGGAGTGACGCATTACCACTTGTACTCCTGGGTATCCGTTCAACTATAAAGGAAGATATAGGTTGTACAGCCGCTGAGCTAGTTTACGGTACAACCCTTACATTACCAGGTCAACTAGTGGACCCAAACACTTTAACACCAACGGACCCAAGTCGTTTTGCTAGCCAACTGCTGCAAACCATGCAACGAATCAAAGCCATACCGCCTCGCGAACATAACAATCGAATACAACTCAACAGAAATCTAGAAACATGCAAATTTGTCTTTGTTCGAGTTGATGCTGTTAAAAAGCCATTGAAACAACCATATGAAGGACCATATCAAGTAATTAAAAGAACGACCAAACACTTCATAATCAACAAGTGTGGAAAGAAAGAGACTATTGCTATCGATAGAATAAAGCCTGCTTTCTATGAAGAACAGCACGACAAAGAACATACTACTTCACCGAACCAACCCCGTCCAGCAACCACCACTACAGCAGACATGGAAGAAAAACTGAGTATCAAACCTACTTGCTTAACGCGCTCAGGTAGAGCTGTAAAAAAACCCAAACGCTATGTACATTTCGCCGAATAAGAAAAAATCTAAACAAACAATTACTGATGTACTATACCATTATACTCACCCGATTTTTCCCAACAAAATCTATGATTTTTTTTACAGTGTACATAGTTAACCATATTTTTTTCCCACAATTATTCGTTTTGTCACATTTTTTTTATAAAAAAAAATTTTGTTACAATAATAAACGAGTAAACTCTATTTAATTATTCATTTGTTGTACACACACACACAAAAGCAGTTCTTTTTTTTTGGGTTCAGTAACAGTTCTGTACATTATTATCATTGTTAGCAAACCAAGATTTTAAATGACGGTATTCTCATTACTTTTGTTTGTCATGCTATGCCACATCACCGCTATTTTCACGCAATAACACACTGTATATTATTAACGTACATGCCATACGCATCTCCACATTGTTAATCGGTTATTATTGTAAATATTATTATTTTTTTTTTGTATAAAATTTTTCTTATTGTTATTGTAACCAGTGTTACCTCCGGACACTCTGGGGGGAGCTATGTGGAGATAGACCTGACAAGCTTATTTTGTAAATAGTTTTTAATATTATTTGTATTTATTTTGTCAATTTCCCACTGCATGTACATTTATCATTAAATGATTGTACCCGTTGTTTAAGTCATTGACCTTGAAGACACTTTCCGTTGAGCTACTACATAGCGTGGTATATGCTTGCCGACTAACAAATACATTACTACTCTCGCATTCCTCGTTCTATTTCCATTTGTGATTGAGTTAACGGAAGTCTAAATCAAATACTATCTACATTTATAGACTGTAATCGGAATATATCACATCCTACGTTGGACTATATCGCTAGAGAGTTCGCCAACCTGCTCAGAGTCATCAAGCATTTATAATTGTGGATTTACATTACTGGACCTAATCAGAACACGCAACGTTTGGGCAATTTAAGTAACGTCCCTAATTTTTATTGTATTTGTAACAATTAACTGTGTATATATTAATATTACTATTTATCTTTAGTAACTTTGTTTATACTTTTTGCGTTCATATTTGTCTGGTCCACCACAAGCCTTGACGACAACACAATTTTTATGACGATATATGCTTGAATCATGATATTTCATATAAAATAAAAGACTTCTCTACTCTCAATGTACAATTAAGTAGAAAAAATTTCTAGTCTGCGATGCAAATACGAAAAACTGTTATAATGAATTTTCAAGGAGTTCGCGATACCATGTACCGCAAAATGGCAAAACCCCTTTCCACCTGATTGTGAAGACGGAAAATGAAGTTTCAAATTTCTCTATAATTAATTTCAAATTTTGACTGTGCGGAAAGCAGAAATGGAAAAGTAGCGCAAAACGTGTCGTGATACACTTGGAGCGCTGCCTGGGCCAGTCCATGGCATACCATTAACTGATGCACGTTGGTTGTCCATTATTAGTGGGTGATAACACAGTGGGTGAAGCAGTCCTAAAACTAGGATGGATACAAGCTCTCCCATGCTACGTCCAACACTGTTTGGATGCACAAGATCGTGAAACCTCATTATCTCATTTAGTGCGTATAGCCGATAGAATAATGGAAAGAGGTCCTACAACTGGATCAGGCACAACAAATCACACACAAAAAGTAGAATCAGCAAAAGACCCGTTCATAGAAGGACTCATCGCGGTGTTAAGTCTCACTGAGGCTGTCACCGAAATGCAAATGGGTCGTAGAAACAGGAGCAGGTCGCCACAACGACCACGACCCAAGTCACAAATGTCCAGACAATCTGGGCAGTTTTGTTGGTACCACTGGAAGTTTGGTGTCAACTCAACCAAGCGCATGCAACCATGCGCCTGGCCTAAACATAATTCCAAGACAGTTGGAAACGAGTAACCCCTCCTCAGGTCGCGACGACTGAGGAGGGGCGCCTAAACAGTCGCTTGTTTTATAATAGAGACAGAAACTCTGGCTTGAATTTCTAGGTGTATACTGGCGCCGCTCTTAGCATCATCCCTCAAAACAAAACTGAGATAAGTCGAGAAACATCACCAACTACACTTCATATGTTTTAGTGGACTCATCTAGCTGAAGGCGCTCGGTCAGGCATCCGCACCAGATCACGTGTGGTAACGCTGTGCTCAACATCTATCGCAATCACTAGCCAGATTAGATCAGAGAATTTCGATATATTGTTAATCGCCAAATACACTCTTCCGATCTCCTCGACTCCGTCTTTTGATTTCTCTGGGTGGGAACGAATCATATTAGAAGGTGTTACTGGTAGAAGCGTTGTCAAACACTGAAAACCTGTGTCATCATCATTGGTGAGACCGACGTGATCTGGTACACCTAATTGCAACTGTGAGTCTGTTCCTTTTTGGGATTTTTATATATAATTGACTTATTTTTTTATTTTTTTTAAACATTGTGATTTTTTTCGTGTTTTTTCTTGGATATATATATTTTTTCCCTTCGTTCATTATCGTACTTCATATTTCATCATGACTGAACAGACACTTAAAGTACTCAAGCTTAAGACTGTCCCCGCCTTCGTTTCAACTCATGCCTTCCTGGCCCGACAACATCGAAGCCTGGTTTTGCTACGCAGAAGCCGACTTTTCCGAGCACGGCGTGAACGACACACGTGCACAATTCCTCGCAGTAGTCAAGGCACTACCGCGGGAATTCAACAGGTACGTAACACCTAGTATGTTTACTAGTGATGTTTCCGAACCTTACGAAATCTTAAAACGCTCGATTCTTAAACGAGGAGACCTAACCGATCGACAAAGGTTAGATCAACTCTTCAATAACATCGACCTGCAACACGGTTCTGCGACGGACATGTTGCAACGGATGAGAGAGGTTATAGGCCCAAGAACTTTCGACGAAGGTCTATTCAAACAACTCTTCTTGTCAAAACTTCCCCAACAGGTGCAAGCAGTTCTGGTCTCGTTCCAGAACAACGCCTTAGACGAGCTAGCTGCATCTGCCGACCGCATTTTAGAAATTACGAAATCTACTACCGAGGTATTTTCAGTCAAAGAAAAGCCTCAAACGACTCAGAATGACATAACCGACTTATGTCACACACTCACGCGTTATCTTAGTCTTCGTACCGACCGTAAGAGATCGCGCACACCACGTAGAAGCATTTCTCGTAAGCGATCTGTCTCTAGACCACGAGAGACAGATAACCCCGACTGGTGCTGGTATCATAACCAGTATGGAAAGTTTTCCAGAAATTGCAGAAAACCCTGCAATTTTCCCAACACGAAACCGACTGACTCGAAAAACAACTCGGGAAACTTCCAAGCCGGCACGCGTTAACGGCAACCGTAGCCGGCGAACATAGCCGTCTGTTATACGTCACAGATGTGACAACGAGAGTTCGCTACCTCGTCGACACTGGCGCAGAAGTTAGCGTTCTCCCAGCAAATCCTAACGACCGACTTCACGAATCGACTCTAAACTTACAGGCGGCAAACGGAAAACCGATCGCTACGTATGGCAAAAGGTACGTTTACCTTAACGTGGGTTTACGCAAACCCATCCACTGGATTTTCGTTGTTGCAGATGTTTCTATGCCAATCATTGGTATGGACCTTCTACAACACCACAATCTGATCATCGACACTCGCAAACGGAGGCTAGTAGACGGAAACACTAATTTGTCCGTTTGCGTAACTTCTTTTACTGGTTGTAGAGTATCCCCAGTCACAGTTAAGCATATGATAGACCCACTCTATCAACCACTACTCGATAAGTACCCTGGGATACAACAAACTCAACCGAAACTACCGTGTGTAACCAGCAATGTTACACATCACATCACGACTACAGGACCACCTGTATTCTCTAAAGCACGACGACTAGCTCCTGAAAAGCTAAGGTTAGCGAAAAACGAATTCGATCATATGATGGACTTAGGAATCATACGACCGTCAAGTAGCCCATATGCATCTCCGTTGCACATGGTCCCTAAAAAGGACAGCAACGATTGGCGTCCAACTGGCGACTATCGGCGATTGAACGCGAAAACCATTCCCGATCGTTACCCGTTGCCTCACATTCACGATTTGACAGCTACCTTGAAAGGTACAACTGTCTTTTCGAAAATCGACTTGGTTAAAGCGTATAACCAAATCCCTATGGCTACTGACGACATACCGAAAACAGCTATCATAACTCCCTTCGGACTCTATGAATTTTTGCGAATGCCTTTCGGTCTAAGGAATGCTGCTCAAACATTCCAAAGATTCATAGACGACGTTTTTCGAGGTCTCAACTTCGTACACGCGTATGTTGACGACTGTCTAATCGCAAGTCCGGACAGAGAAACACATCTCAAGCATCTGGATCTTGTTTTCGAACGATTACAAAAACATGGCATAACTGTAAACGTTCAGAAATGCCAATTTGGAACCGACTCGTTAGACTTTCTGGGACACACTATCGATGCTCAAGGTATCCGACCCCTTAGAACCAAAGTGGCGGCCATTCTGGATTACCCAGAACCGACCACCGTCAAGCAATTACGCACGTTTAACGGCCTGGTAAGTTTCTATAGACGTTTCATACCGAATTGCGCATTACTTATGAAACCTCTGACCGACCAACTTCGTGGAAATGCGAAATCCATTAATTTGGACGACACCGCACGAAAAGCATTCTCCACAGTCAAGGAACTGATTGCTAAAGCAACAATGCTCGCACATCAGGACACCCGAGCACCCATTAGCATCGCAGTAGACGCATCCGACTCAGCAATCGGAGGAGTCTTACAACAATGGGTTAACAACTCCTGGCAACCCTTGGCATTTTTCTCTAGAAGGTTGCTAGACACCGAATCGAGGTACAGCACATTCGGTAGGGAACTCCTAGCTATGTATTGTGCTGTACGGCATTTCCAACACTATATCGAAGGCCGTGAATTCACTCTTTTCACGGACCATAAACCGCTCACTTTCTCGTTAAGCTCTCCTTCTGACAAGTACTCTCCCCGTGAGTCTCGACAACTGGACTACATTTCGCAGTTTACTTCAGATATTCAACATATTTCTGGAGCAAACAATGTAGTTGCAGACGCCTTATCTCGCATAACTTCCTTGAACAGTTTCCAAGGAATCGACCTTCTTAAACTCGCCGAGCTTCAAAAAGAAGACAGTGATCTTCAGCACGAGTTATCGTCCACAACACTTAAACTACGCATCAAACAGATGGGAACAGGTAAGGAAACCTTACTTTGTGACACATCTACAGGTAGGGATCGCCCAATCGTGCCGAAACATTATCGACGCAATGTCTTCAATACATTGCACAAACTTTCTCATCCAGGTGTTCGTGCAACCATCAAGCTTATAGCAGAACGATTTTGCTGGCCTGGCATGAATAAAGACGTGAGGGAGTGGGCACGCTCCTGTGTAAGCTGCCAAAAATCTAAGGTTATCAGACACAATAAATGTCCCTTAGGCTCGTTTAAAACTCCCGATGCTCGTTTCGACCATGTTCATCTGGATTTGGTAGGACCTTTACCAGATTCAAATGGATACTCTTACCTCTTAACCTGCGTAGACCGTTTCACTCGATGGCCAGAAGCAGTACCTATCAAGGACATCACTGCTGAAACAGTGGCCCGCACCTTCGTCGAACGATGGGTAGCAAACTTCGGCTGCCCTTCAACCATCACTACAGACCGCGGACGTCAGTTTGAATCTGATCTTTTCCGTCGTCTGACCACACTTTTAGGAACCACTCGCTTCCGAACGACTGCCTACTACCCACAAGCAAACGGGTTGGTAGAACGTTTTCACCGACAACTAAAAGCTTCGCTATCAGCTGCAAACGTTTCACAGTGGACCGACGCTCTTCCACTCGTCTTACTAGGTATCCGCAATGCAGTGAAAGCTGACATTGGATACACTGCGGCTCAACTCGTTTATGGAACGACACTTCGACTTCCAGGAGAATTCGTTGATCCTTCGTGCTCTTCGATGAACATGGATCTAACCTCCTACACGAACAGGCTTACAAACGCAATGCGTTCAGTTAAACCTGCTTCTACTCGACCTCAATCAACTGATGTTTTCTTTCGTCGAGACTCGCATCGACGACCTTTCGAATCAGCATACGAAGGACCTTTCAAAGTTCTTCAACGCGAACCGAAGTACTATATAATCGATAAGAACGGAACCAACGATAGCATCAGCATCGATCGCCTCAAAGCAGCGTATTTAGAAGAAAATCCTATCTACGTCGATTTTCCTTCGGTACAATCGAACGACAAGACTCCACTCATAATTCCTCAACCGACAACCAACACTAGCGATAATACTCCGAATGTATCTGAAAATAAACTTAAAACGACGCGTTCTGGAAGAAGAGTTAGATTTCCAGAACATTTAAACGACTATTGCACGTAAGGCACTACTAGACATTTAATTTTATCTCGATCTTTCTTTTTACGATATATATTTTTAGAAAAAAAAACAATTTTAATATGCTTATATATTTTTATTTTTTATTCCCAAAAAAACAAACAAAAAAACATTATAAATTTTTTTAACGATATTACGTGTAAATTAGTTTGTATTTCAAGTTTTTTTTCGCCGACATTGTGTTTTTACGCACATACGAGTGTATTTCGACATGCACTTACATTTTCTTTTTTCTTTTCCAGGACGGCTGGAAAAGAACGACGACGTTTATGAGGAGCTAAAATTTTCATTGTACATTTTCTTTTTTTACTATGTTGTACCTCGGTCCCATATAGTAAGGAAAGACGACCAGACGCTGCTAATCCTAGCAAGCTATCAGAAGAGTGTTTGCCAACGACAAAACTCGCTGGGTTTAAACTTCTGGCTGGCCACGTCCTAGGGTCATCACTAACCCACTAGGGGGGGGGATCTGTAGCGGTAAATAAATCCCTAAAATAAATAGCTCTGTAAGTTTTCGACACCGGCCTGGTCCTACGTTGCAGCTGACTGATCAACTAACCACCCTCATATGTTTTAGTCTCATTATCTCGAAACATTTACATATCTCAGTTAGACTCAGTATAAACATAATCAAAACAGAAAATATTAAGTTATTCAGCATGGATACAGATGGGACATTTCGTATACAACATGGTTATAAACAGCAATGTATAATAGCTCACGACTTTATAATAACAATAAATGCAAAACTTTATTGATATGCATACCTCAAAGCAGTAGGATGTTTTCAACGAATCGTCTCTCAGGGTACGACTATTTAAAGTAGGTGTGATTGGTATACACCCACCACTAAGGCGATTCCTATCATTTGTAAGTCGATTACTTTATTCAAACATTATCTAAACTAATGATAAGCAGAAACGTGGTCATGGGCCCACAGATGGGATGAACAGTTATCTATATTTGCCCGTTAAATTGACAATCGAAAGAGACTACGTAAATGTTTATTTTTTTCCTGTTCGGCTTCGCTACATTGAGGCTGTTATTATTAATGGTAACATTTCCATTTTAAGCTACTTAAATAGTGCTTCCACTGCTTTATTGAAACCTATCCTGTGCATAATGAAAGCCATGATCATTAGTACTTATTATGGAGGAATACTTTGGACAAAGCCTGAATAAGTGTTATTTAGAACTCCCCAAGGATTAGACGAAAGTGCTTAAAACTACCAAAGATAAGAAACATGAACTGTAGTATGCTTTTGTAGTTTGAAGAAATAGATCAATAACAAAGAAAAATGTCACAAACCTTACTTATTCAAACATATCCTATGGAACCTAAGAGACTGTGTGTTGCTATTATTTACACGACACAAATCATTATTGTAACATTTGTTGTCGGTTTACCACAATCATTTACTATTTACATTTTCTTACAAAGCGGTTACTCTTATTGATTATTAGAATTTCAGCACATTGGAAACCAATTGACAGACACATTCCTTAGTACCATGGAAAGAATTGGTAATGACTTCGGAAACTTTCGAACAGTTTGTGTAATGCTGCTATTTAGCACCAATACTAGAGTGACAATTACTTAAGAAATCATCATATTCCAAGAATTTGTAGATCCCGAAAACTAATGCTAAAACGGAAACTAGTAACGTAACATTTGATACAATTTAATAAAAAGCTGAGTGCTAGAGAACGATCTTGACAAAAAGTAACTGGAAAACTTAAGTTTAAAAAAAACACTGAATACTACACCATCATGCTCCTAAACGTGTTAACCACGTTTCAAAGCTCTCACAACAGTTGATTAGAATGGACGAGGATTATTTGATCACAATAATATTTGGAGAAAGAAACAGAATTTTCAAACTTAGATTATCATAAGAGTATACAAATACTACAACAGTTCAGTAAGTAGGCTCGGTTGATTAAACCTCGATCAGAAGCATTATTTTATTTATTTGAACACATGAATATTGGTACAAGAGAGCGCCAATATATATGTGCCACACACAGAAGCATTTTAATAACGTAATGAACACATCTCTGAATTAATTGCCGCTTACATTTAGCGCTATGAAACTACTCAATTTCCAAGTTTGATAAAGACAAATATTTGCCTTCATAGTTGACAAGTAGCTGTACTGTGACTTAAACACATAACTGAATAAACAACAAAAATAAAATTAAACTGTCAATGAAAAAAGGTGTCAATCATTTGTTAGTGATACACAAATAACTTACAACATTGAAGATTGTAGTTAGTGATCGTGCTAAAAAATAAAACGAAACACTCAAGTACTTCAGGCATAGGTTGTTAAAGCAGACCATTGAAACAAATATTATAGAAAGTGGCAAGATCTGAAAAATAATTTATTAGTAACGTGTCGCCTACTTCAATCGACGTTTTAAAAGAAAAGTTCAACTGTGGAAACTTCACATGACTAGGTAACAGCATAGCTAGATACGATGTTAAATAACATAGAAATGCTGTAACTGCACATTGAAACCAAGTTATAAATATCGGTGCATTTAGCTGATTAAGTAATTTTTGTTTATTATTAACCAGTGATGTTGAGTACTTACCGATACAGACTTATCACTCAATAACCACTTGTTTATAAATACCAAGGAAATGGAAATAAACCTTAAAAGTATTTATTTTAATTATCATAATGGAAACACAACCTACCAATATGCAGAAACAACACAAATTATTTTTTTAATCATCCTTCTTTCCCTCTTTGGTAAGTACATAGATTCAACGTATCTAATGATGCTTTACTTACTAACTTTGTATCATTCACCTTTAAACACTAATAAGAGAACTAAAATAAAAATCATTATATGAAAAATAAAAAATAACAGGACAGCAGAACAGAAGGGAAGTAAATGAGTTGAAAGTTTTATATTAAAAAAATCAATTCGTTAGCAAACGACTATCACATTCAATTTTTATTATGTGCTGTCCGGGAATAACAACAGTGGTTAACTCTCTTAGCAAATTGTCGGATGCTGAATCAGGTGCCGGATACTCTGTACACGAACCCATTACAATATTTCCAACATTATCTGTGCACCAAAAGCTTCCAATATATCTTCGACCATCCGATACATGGACAGTAAGTTCTTGATCGCACAAACACTTTAAGAAGTCTTTAGCTTCATCTTTGGTTTTGAATGAAGGCTCACTAAGAGTCATAAGAAGCTAAGTTAAAGAAAAAATTAACCAATTATAGGAGGGCTGATTAAAGTTCTAAAATTGTGACGTCTGAAAAATAAAGCGTTCTCAACAACAAATTAACGATGATATAATCTCAATCAACAAAAAGTCTTGAAAAATTGTTCATTGACCCTGATTGTAAGAAAGAGGAAATAAAGGGATGATAACGAAAGCTGAAGTATTGTTATTAACTGCAGTGGAAAACTAACGAGTATAATCCAAATTCATTACTTAGACACACAAATACTAGCACAAGGAGACATATAATATGTTCAACACAAAGAATTCGGCTAGTGTGAAGGTTGAAATAATGCCCAAACGCCCGAACCGAAGCAGGAATGAATGGAATGTCGCTGCCAAGGAAACAACTGGATCACCACAAAAGTTGAAGTATTGTTATTAACTGCAGTGGAAGACTAACGAGTGCACTTGAAAGGAAACAAATGAAACAGAGGAATAGAAGCGTGGACTAATAGTTCCCGTCGAAACTTAAGGAGAGATAACGAAAATAGTTTATGTGAGCCCATTTATGAAAAATTAAAGTAAAAACAAGAATGAGTAGTCAGGGACGTAACTCTAGTAACGGAAAATGTATTGGAGTATAGGCAAGAATCTAATTTATGGACGACCTTTGAACGAATCTCAAGTGACCTTGGGAAATATTAGACAATCAGCGAACAGTCAGTATAGACTAAAAATATGTTATACAAAACCAAGGAAATAAAGTGGATACACTTCTTATACGTGGTTCAAAAACTTGTCAAGGTTAGAATGAGGTTCAGAGGTTCTAAAATCGTAATGCACTCAGTAGAGGAAATCATCCATATGGCTACAGAATAGTCCGCCTCTGAAGTCATGATAAAGTCTCAAATACTCTTTCAGTCCCCACCACATAGCTTCAATATTGTTTATGTGCACTCTGGTTGTTGAGTGCACAAAATGCTACTTGTGGACAACGACACGATGCACATAACCAAGCCTATGTAGGAACCTGTACGCTCTCCAAACATCCGTATATATTGTAGTACCTGGCTGCTGTCAGTGTTACTGGTGCTTTTATTATCCAGTTCGCAATAATTGTCGTAATTTGCCTTAGTTAGGAATTATATATGGGGTTTTCATCACGAACTGATACCAGCTATATTGCTAGAAATTTATTTAGCCAAATGGATGAAAGGCTTTCACGTTAAAATCCGAGATCTATTATCTTATACCTGATTGATTCGTCCACAAATTATAGTCTTGCAGTTTTATTTATTATAAGCGCTCAATTATCACGTTTTGTACAAAATTCCCTGTGAACAGATCGTACGTTAGCATTAAGCACTGAATTTGGTGCCGTAGCCCTGAAATCTCTAAAACGCCTCTGATTGGCTTGTCCATATATTAGAGTCTCGCCGACGAAGTTTACCATATCATACGGTTTATTTTCCCGTTATCACTTATTTAGGTCGCTTGTTTAGACACCAAACTTGTAGCCACTGTAAAAACCACGAAAACAACTATGAACATTTGAAGACTTCCATACGTAAAATGTAGTCTGTATGCAAAATGATTCGGTATTATCGAGATCGTGGGAAACAAAAGTACTCACTATTTATTGACTTTTAGGAAAATATTCTGAGTTTGGCTCATAAGCTGAAGAGCCACAACTCCAAGTTATTTATATACGATGCTTTTGGGTGCGTCTTACAACAAAGGCGATAGGTTTACTACCTGTTGGGTTCCCCTGATATCATATATTTTCACTGAAAACTGAACATATAGGCTATTTTTACAATTATAATCGTTACTATATACAACCAAGATGATTCAAAATGCACAGCATGCCTAATTCGCAATAAACGCTGTATAAACGTGATGGACTCACGACTCTATAATCGAGTACGCGGAAAGGCTTTGAGAAGATGAAGATCCCTCAATAGTAGCGCGATATACAAAAATTCCTCATTTTGTGACAAAAAACGCCAATAAAATATAAAATATTTTCAAGTAAAAGTGAGTGATATGGATTTTAATTTTTAGAATATTTAGACATACATTTTAAATAAAAGGATTTTTCGACCTCATTTTACATCCAGACTCAAGTGTTACTCACTTTAAAAAAAGCTATATCGAGAAGTGATCAATCTAAGCCGGTTAGCGGTCGTAGGAGGTGGGAAGCATGGCGTACCCACTAGTGATCTGGTGCGAATGTGGGGCCAAGCACCTCCAGATAAGTGAGCCCACCAAAACTGAAGCGGTTAGCATCAAATGTTGATGATTTACAGAGCTATTGATTTGGGGATTTATTTACCGCCATACTGGCACAGTCATCATTGTGACAGAACATTTTGTCAATTTTTAGGTCAAAATTGAGAATAAACGAGACAAATGTGATATCTAAACCGCCTAATAGGAGGTAGACTACATTTTTTCTTCTCGGTTTGCAAGCAGCGGTAATGTTGATGCTTTTAGCCACTTTGACAGCACAACTTTACACCTGATCTTAAACAATTTTACCCGATCCTATCTACAGTGTGAACAAAGGATTTCCCTCCTCACCCCAGAAGAATAAGTTGGAACGTATCCAACGACGAGGCATAAGTCAGCTCTGGGACTCAAATTCAGACCATATGAGGAGCGTCTTAAATCACTGGGCCTCTATCCATCACAATATAGTCATCTTAAACGCTTACAGACATCCTCTTAAACACCTACTTAATTTCAGTCACAACACAAACCTTAGAGGTAACACTGAAGATGACACAGGTATTCAGTGTTTGACAACGCTTCTACCAGTAACACCTTCTAATATGATTCGTTCCCACCCAGAGAAATCAAAAGACGGAGTCGAGGAGATCGGAAGAGTGTATTTGGCGATTAACAATATATCGGAATTCTCTGATCTAATCTGGCTAGTTATCGCGGTTGATGTTGAGCACGGCGTTACCACACGTGATCTGGTGCGGATGCCTGACCGAGCGCCTTCAGCTAGATGAGTCCACTAAAACATGTCAGCATCCAGTAACGAAAACTTACAGAGCTATTTATTTTAGGGATTTATTTACCGCTACAGATCTCCCCCCCCCTAGTGGGTTAGTGATGACCCTAGGACGTGGCCAGCCAGAAGTTTAAACCCAGCGAGTTTTGTCGTTGGCAAACACTCTTCTGATAGCTTGCTAGGATTAGCAGCGTCTGGTCGTCTTTCCTTACTATATGGGACCGAGGTACAACATAGTAAAAAAAGAAAATGTACAATGAAAATTTTAGCTCCTCATAAACGTCGTCGTTCTTTTCCAGCCGTCCTGGAAAAGAAAAAAGAAAATGTAAGTGCATGTCGAAATACACTCGTATGTGCGTAAAAACACAATGTCGGCGAAAAAAAACTTGAAATACAAACTAATTTACACGTAATATCGTTAAAAAAATTTATAATGTTTTTTTGTTTGTTTTTTTGGGAATAAAAAATAAAAATATATAAGCATATTAAAATTGTTTTTTTTTCTAAAAATATATATCGTAAAAAGAAAGATCGAGATAAAATTAAATGTCTAGTAGTGCCTTACGTGCAATAGTCGTTTAAATGTTCTGGAAATCTAACTCTTCTTCCAGAACGCGTCGTTTTAAGTTTATTTTCAGATACATTCGGAGTATTATCGCTAGTGTTGGTTGTCGGTTGAGGAATTATGAGTGGAGTCTTGTCGTTCGATTGTACCGAAGGAAAATCGACGTAGATAGGATTTTCTTCTAAATACGCTGCTTTGAGGCGATCGATGCTGATGCTATCGTTGGTTCCGTTCTTATCGATTATATAGTACTTCGGTTCGCGTTGAAGAACTTTGAAAGGTCCTTCGTATGCTGATTCGAAAGGTCGTCGATGCGAGTCTCGACGAAAGAAAACATCAGTTGATTGAGGTCGAGTAGAAGCAGGTTTAACTGAACGCATTGCGTTTGTAAGCCTGTTCGTGTAGGAGGTTAGATCCATGTTCATCGAAGAGCACGAAGGATCCACGAATTCTCCTGGAAGTCGAAGTGTCGTTCCATAAACGAGTTGAGCCGCAGTGTATCCAATGTCAGCTTTCACTGCATTGCGGATACCTAGTAAGACGAGTGGAAGAGCGTCGGTCCACTGTGAAACGTTTGCAGCTGATAGCGAAGCTTTCAGTTGTCGGTGAAAACGTTCTACCAACCCGTTTGCTTGTGGGTGGTAGGCGGTCGTTCGGAAGCGAGTGATTCCTAAAAGTGTGGTCAGACGACGGAAAAGATCAGATTCAAACTGACGTCCGCGGTCTGTAGTGATGGTTGAAGGGCAGCCGAAGTTTGCTACCCATCGTTCGACGAATGTGCGGGCCACTGTTTCAGCAGTGATGTCCTTGATAGGTACTGCTTCTGGCCATCGAGTGAAACGGTCTACGCAGGTTAAGAGATAAGAGTATCCATTTGAATCTGGTAAAGGTCCTACCAAATCCAGATGAACATGGTCGAAACGAGCATCGGGAGTTTTAAACGAGCCTAAGGGACATTTATTGTGTCTGATAACCTTAGATTTTTGGCAGCTTACACAGGAGCGTGCCCACTCCCTCACGTCTTTATTCATGCCAGGCCAGCAAAATCGTTCTGCTATAAGCTTGATGGTTGCACGAACACCTGGATGAGAAAGTTTGTGCAATGTATTGAAGACATTGCGTCGATAATGTTTCGGCACGATTGGGCGATCCCTACCTGTAGATGTGTCACAAAGTAAGGTTTCCTTACCTGTTCCCATCTGTTTGATGCGTAGTTTAAGTGTTGTGGACGATAACTCGTGCTGAAGATCACTGTCTTCTTTTTGAAGCTCGGCGAGTTTAAGAAGGTCGATTCCTTGGAAACTGTTCAAGGAAGTTATGCGAGATAAGGCGTCTGCAACTACATTGTTTGCTCCAGAAATGTGTTGAATATCTGAAGTAAACTGCGAAATGTAGTCCAGTTGTCGAGACTCACGGGGAGAGTACTTGTCAGAAGGAGAGCTTAACGAGAAAGTGAGCGGTTTATGGTCCGTGAAAAGAGTGAATTCACGGCCTTCGATATAGTGTTGGAAATGCCGTACAGCACAATACATAGCTAGGAGTTCCCTACCGAATGTGCTGTACCTCGATTCGGTGTCTAGCAACCTTCTAGAGAAAAATGCCAAGGGTTGCCAGGAGTTGTTAACCCATTGTTGTAAGACTCCTCCGATTGCTGAGTCGGATGCGTCTACTGCGATGCTAATGGGTGCTCGGGTGTCCTGATGTGCGAGCATTGTTGCTTTAGCGATCAGTTCCTTGACTGTGGAGAATGCTTTTCGTGCGGTGTCGTCCAAATTAATGGATTTCGCATTTCCACGAAGTTGGTCGGTCAGAGGTTTCATAAGTAATGCGCATTCGGTATGAAACGTCTATAGAAACTTACCAGGCCGTTGAACGTGCGTAATTGCTTGACGGTGGTCGGTTCTGGGTAATCCAGAATGGCCGCCACTTTGGTTCTAAGGGGTCGGATACCTTGAGCATCGATAGTGTGTCCCAGAAAGTCTAACGAGTCGGTTCCAAATTGGCATTTCTGAACGTTTACAGTTATGCCATGTTTTTGTAATCGTTCGAAAACAAGGTCCAGATGCTTGAGATGTGTTTCTCTGTCCGGACTTGCGATTAGACAGTCGTCAACATACGCGTGTACGAAGTTGAGACCTCGAAAAACGTCGTCTATGAATCTTTGGAATGTTTGAGCAGCATTCCTTAGACCGAAAGGCATTCGCAAAAATTCATAGAGTCCGAAGGGAGTTATGATAGCTGTTTTCGGTATGTCGTCAGTAGCCATAGGGATTTGGTTATACGCTTTAACCAAGTCGATTTTCGAAAAGACAGTTGTACCTTTCAAGGTAGCTGTCAAATCGTGAATGTGAGGCAACGGGTAACGATCGGGAATGGTTTTCGCGTTCAATCGCCGATAGTCGCCAGTTGGACGCCAATCGTTGCTGTCCTTTTTAGGGACCATGTGCAACGGAGATGCATATGGGCTACTTGACGGTCGTATGATTCCTAAGTCCATCATGTGATCGAATTCGTTTTTCGCTAACCTTAGCTTTTCAGGAGCTAGTCGTCGTGCTTTAGAGAATACAGGTGGTCCTGTAGTCGTGATGTGATGTGTAACATTGCTGGTTACACACGGTAGTTTCGGTTGAGTTTGTTGTATCCCAGGGTACTTATCGAGTAGTGGTTGATAGAGTGGGTCTATCATATGTTTAACTGTGACTGGGGATACTCTACAACCAGTAAAAGAAGTTACGCAAACGGACAAATTAGTGTTTCCGTCTACTAGCCTCCGTTTGCGAGTGTCGATGATCAGATTGTGGTGTTGTAGAAGGTCCATACCAATGATTGGCATAGAAACATCTGCAACAACGAAAATCCAGTGGATGGGTTTGCGTAAACCCACGTTAAGGTAAACGTACCTTTTGCCATACGTAGCGATCGGTTTTCCGTTTGCCGCCTGTAAGTTTAGGGTCGATTCGTGAAGTCGGTCGTTAGGATTTGCTGGGAGAACGCTAACTTCTGCGCCAGTGTCGACGAGGTAGCGAACTCTCGTTGTCACATCTGTGACGAATAACAGACGGCTTGTTCGCCGGCTACGGTTGCCGTTAACGCGTGCCGGCTTGGAAGTTTCCCGAGTTGTTTTTCGAGTCAGTCGGTTTCGTGTTGGGAAAATTGCAGGGTTTTCTGCAATTTCTGGAAAACTTTCCATACTGGTTATGATACCAGCACCAGTCGGGGTTATCTGTCTCTCGTGGTCTAGAGACAGATCGCTTACGAGAAATGCTTCTACGTGGTGTGCGCGATCTCTTACGGTCGGTACGAAGACTAAGATAACGCGTGAGTGTGTGACATAAGTCGGTTATGTCATTCTGAGTCGTGTGAGGCTTTTCTTTGACTGAAAATACCTCG